CCACTGCACAGGGCCCCCAATTTTTGAGGGGCCCTAAATTTTTTTACTTTATATTATATATATATATATACAGAAATTCTCTTATGCGGACATCCGTACGTTATTATCGTGCGGACGCAGTGTATTTTGTACTACCCCTCTTTGTTTTCCTGCCTGTTTACAATAGAATCCGCACGTCGGATTCACCTCAGTCAGGTAAACGTCATCAAATCTCTATCTCTCTCTCTCTCTCTCAATTTCTATTGCAGTAGAAAACCGAATTGTACTTGCCCTTACTTTTTTGGGCTGCATGCTTTTGGTATGTAAAAGGACATATTGGCCACGGGCGACCCTGGCATGGTGCAAGTGGCGCCACTGCACAGGGCCCCCAATTTTTGAGGGGCCCTAAATTTTTTTACTTTATATTATATATATTAATATTATAAAAACTATATATATACTTCAACGTGCAACATAGTGAAACAAAAGTGTATTTTGTGGAGCTTGTTTCTAGCACATATCCCTTGGTACGAGGCCCAAGTTCGAGTCTCAATGATGTCATTTTATTTTTATTTTTATTCTTTTTTCATTATAATAACAAATTTTAAAATAGTTTTTTTTTAAAAACAAAAAACAAAAAGCACGTAAAAAAAACAAAGGGGAAAACTCCAACTAAACTAACAGTATATATCACACCTAAACCAAAAAAAAAAGTACTTTCTTCCACTCAAAACAAAACCAAAATTGTTTTATGACATTAAGTCATGGCAATAGTATTTTTCATATTAGATTATGTGAGGGCTCCCGTTTATGTTTTGCATAGGGCCTTCAAAATCTCAAAACCGGCCTTGGTATTGGCTGTATAGTTAGGAATAACCTATTTGATCAAAAAATATAGGCTCACTATAATTTTTTCAACTAAGGATGTCAAGAACATTCAAGCCCCTTTAGCATGGAAAAAGGATTTCTTACAAGTTCTAGATTTGTGTATTTCTGTTGCTAAGAACCATTATTTAGTGGACACTTCCTGCAAAACAAAGTTTGACATATATACAAAAATAATTCATCAAAAACACATAAAGAAAAATCTATACACACATGTCAACCTGTGATTGACATGAAAGTATGAGTTTCTATTTTCCAGCAAGTAGACAAGTATTCTCTATTTTAAATTTCTCTCATCTCTACAGAGGAAATTGATATTGCTATCGAATAAATTAGTACTTGTAGGGGCTTTTTCGTTCCGGCAGCTACAGATGGGCTTGGGCTGCTATAAAGAGCAAATGGATGGACTTGCCCTTGTGTCTGAGTTCAAGAATCAGACCCCAAGGATGCTTCAAAAGGGTTGTGGAGCCTTAGGAAACACCTTGGTCTTCTTCACCAACAAAACCAACAGTTGCTTACAGATAAATATATGGCTTGGCTTGAGAAGCTTGTGGCATGAAAGCTAAGCATTCATGAGTTTAGCATCAAAGAGAGAGAGAGAGCTTGGATTTCCTATGAGAAACAGGGGTTCAAAGTAAGGGGAGAAGGAATTTCATGAGAATTTGTTGAGGGGAGAGAGTCAGAGATGAGGGAGGAGAAGTGGGTGGTTTGAGCAATTTTCCGGTAGCTTGACGAAAGCTTCGTCAGACTCTGGAATGGCTTGCCATAAGAGAAAATGGGAAGAGATGGAGGAATATGGCTTGAAATTGAAGGATTCTAAGGATAAAAGGTGATGCTTGCTCTCTCTGGATGTGGTTGTGAGATGATGGGTGGTTTTAGCAAATTTCAGGCAGCTTGACGAAAGCTTCGTCAAGCTCTTGCATGCTTTGCCAGAAGAGAAAATGGGAAGAAATGGAATAATATGGCTCGAAATTGAAGAATTCCAGTAATGAGAGGGGATGCTTTCTCTCTCTGGATGTGGGTGTGATGATAGGTAAGAGATGCCCCTTTTTATAAGCGCTGGAAGCTCCTTCTTCCCAAGAAACCCTAGCTGGGTCTTCCTAAATCTGCCAAGTCCTCTCCTTTATTTCCCTTCTCTTCCTTTGATTCATCCATATTTTGTGAAATCCCTATAATCCAAACACATTGAGACAAGATTTTTGGGAGCTCTAGAGTCTTCCCCCGACTGCTTCTATGCCATTCTCTTATCTTTGGCAACACTCTCTCCTTTTTTCCTCCCTTATTTTATGGCAAGAGCTGGTGGGGGGAAAGAAATGGGGTAATGGTGTTGGTCTGAAGGGTGTTTTGCTCCTAGTAGCCTACACACGCAAGGATCCTTTGGTTTTTCAGGTGGTCTATCGTGGTTTGTTTTTGGCCATGTGCTGGAGACTCCTAGTAGCCTACACACACAAATACCTTTTGGTTCTTTAGGTGGTCTATCGTGGTTTTGTCTCTGGCCATGTACTGGAGACTTTCAGATATTTTCTAAGTCACTTTGACCATTCCCTAAGGTGATGGGCTAGTTTACTAAGGGAATGGGCCAACTTTCTAAAGTGATGGACTATTTTTACTAAGGTGATGGGCCAATTTTCTAAGGAAATGGGCTACCTTTTTCTCTCTTTCATGCTTACCCACATATTTGGGCTCAAGAAGTGGGCTCGAGTTTTGGGGCTCCCAAGCAGCCCAAAACTTCCACTTCTTGGCTTATCAATAAGCATCGTGAATGCTCGTAACCATCCATACCACAACCCACTCAGCAAGCCCCGGGCATTTGCATGGCTTGGGCCCACTTAAGCTTATAGCATGGCTAGGTGCAAAATACAGCTTTTCCGCTTGGCATTGCATGTTGTTTGGCGTGCTCATGCTCGAGTTTTATCGCATTGTAAGGGGCTATAGTCGCGCCAAAATGACGCTTAATGGGATAATAAGCATGAGTTTATAAAGTCGGTACATTTTACGGGCTTGTTACGACTTTTTAGCATGACAAGTTATGTATTTGCTTAGCATGGCATGTGGACCATAACTCATGCGAGTGCGTACGACGAACTCTCGCGTACCAGAATCGGATTTCTTCTCAATAAGGTATCGTACTGGGTCGGGAATATATTTGGGCCCAGCCTTGAATTTTTTGGGCCTCAACATTAGCCCCTTGATAATTGGGGCCATGAATGGGTGCTGAAATGGATTGAATAATCAAACCCAACCCAAAAATCAAATTCATAGTGGTAGGCGTGGTCACTGACTATTTAGGAAGCACTTCTACTTACAATCAAATTCTATCTAATTGAGTGTTTGGTTGACACAGTAAAAGAGCCTTTAAAAGTACTTTAAAAGAATTTAAAGAATCCCAAAATATTATAATAAACATAGGAAATAAAAATTATATAGAGATGGATCCCTGCAAAAGACCAAATCCTTAGTAGTTAATTAAGGAGATAACATAGAGATGGATCTATGAAATCAGTTAACAATGGGGTCACAGGGCTGGGATTTGCAACATTGTTAAAATCAGTAGACCTATTTTGATTACCATAATGCTACATTGAAAAAACAACTAACCTTAGAATCACATATCAGATAAATAATTGAATGTTTGAACATGCAATTTGAGAATGCTTTGTTCAATTCCACTATCAAACCAATTCCATTGTTTTATCTTCTTGGTTGGGTCAAGAATTTTCAAACGCTTGGTTTGAGAATATAATGACAACTAGTATAGCAAATCTCCTTCTTCCTAAAGAATTGGTTTGAGAACACATACCCCACTTACAAAGCATTTCTTAGGCTCTAGTTTCCAAAAATATTTCCATATACAGTTTTCAGAAAGCAGTATAAAACAATGGCACTACAATTTCTTAACCCAAAACTGAAAAATTATTTTAAAAACAATACATTTCCAGCTTTCCAGCTTGTTATGAACACCATTTTGGCTGCATTGATTCCAGATAGTATGCAGACGAACAAATCAATACAGATTGACCCAAATTAACGTATGAAACTATTAATTCAATCAAGCCCACTGCAAATTTTACTCATGAAACAAAACAAAAAGAAATTGACAAGTTCAGGCATACAAATTTCAAAAAAAAAAAAAAAAAATCAAAACCATGAAAAAGACTTCAATTCCTACACACTAAATAAAAAATTCAAAACCATGAAAAGGACTTCAAGGCAAAGAAGATCCAGTTTCATCCAAATTTAAAAATTTTAAAAAAAAAATCAGAGGAGAACGTATCCAATTAGAGAACTCAGGTAAGGAAATCCAAAAACAAAGAATACCCAAATGGTTTTTAATGATTAGAATACAATTTGCAGGAGGAGCAAGGATGGCCACGGCCTTCAATTGATAGTCAGGTCTTCTACCCGGAAAGAAATCATGAGGCCAAGAGAGAGAGAAATAACACAATGGAGTCTGATGCGAAGCGAGCGACAAAGATGAGGGTATTTTGGCATTTTAGAAAATTAAATAGGGATATTTTCAGTGTTTTGAAATTTTCATTAAAGAGAGCCAAGTGCTTCCCGTGTATTTACTTGGCAGCACTTCTATGAAGATGCATTTCCCAAGTGCTTCTTAAAAGGACTTGGGAGTGCTTTAGCAATTTCAAAAGCACTCCCAAACAAGCCCTAAATAGTCATCTTTAGGAAGCACTTCTACTTATAAATGCTTCTACTAAAAGCTCTTTTATTATAAAGATGTTGAAATTTTCATAAGAAATTGAAATACTTCTTGGAAAAGGACTTGGAAGTGCTTCATAAAGAAGCACATGGCATGTGCTTGTCCAAAAAGCGCTTCTATGGCCTAAAAGCACTTCTAAACTTTTCTATCAAACTCTGTCAGAAGCGCTTTTGATTGTCAGAAAGTGCTTTTAACTGTTCCAGAAGCACTCCCAAACGGGGCCTAAGTTTATTTCCCTCAAGTTTATTTCCCTCATCCAAACAAACTGTTATAAAGCCTATTTAGAGAAACAAACCCAAATTAGCTACTTGTTATTTTTCAATTGGTTCCTAGTGTGTTGAATTTTCTAAGAACCAATTAGAAAATGACAAGTGGTTAGCATAAAAACCGAAGCTATATTGCTGATCCAAAAGAGACATAATAGCACCATTAAACACATACCTTCTCCTTCCTGCCTAGAAACAGTTCGACACAATTGAATCTTACAAAATGGTCATACTTAATAATATACTACTCAATAAAAACCAGCTTATAAAGCTCAGAAATCACGTCTATTCACATCTCATCCAGCATTTGTTCTCAAAAGGAGTAAAAGTTGGAGCTCAACTAACTCATGACATAATAACAGAAAGCTGGGCACCATCCAGATCGTAAACGATAAATGCGATTCTCAATATACTCGGTTACTGATAGTTTGGTAAAGAGACTTTAGCTGTGTGTTCCATTTATCTATAGCAGCATATTTCTTCATTCCCTTTGACCTGCACATTGTTTGCGAATGAATCAATGGCTATCAAACAATGACTTCTACCGTGAACCAGTATGCATGGATTAAAAGTAAAAAGTACAAGTCAAGTAAACAGACCTGTCACCACGCTCTAAGAGCCGGTTCACCTGATCTATATGTCCATCGATTCGGTTATCCAATATAAGCGAAACCAAGAGTTGCTCAACATCTTTCTCAGGCACATTAAGTTCCTGAATGTCAATAAAGTTCAGTAAGTTTACAGGTGATATGACCAAGCGCATAACGGCAGCAGCGATGGTCATATTGAAAAAAAATAAGTATTTGAACTAAAAGATAAAACCCATCCAGTGTTTCTCAAGAGTTAATGATTAAACAAGCACAACAAATCAATGAGCAACGAATACAAAAAGATAGAACGTATGGCCCACCTTTGATATGAAGGGAATCCGAATTCTAGTGTACGGCTTGATAAGTTTAAGCAGCACTTGTGTCCTAACATTCTTCAACAGATCTTCAATATAGTTTCGGATGAACAGATCATCCATAATTGTCCTCCTGTTACTCTGAAAAAAGTACAAATGCCAATTCAACTAAGGGAAATAATAAAGAAAGAAAAAAAATGAACAAAACACACAAACACAGGTAAGTTTAACTTGCATAATGTCATGTTAGAGAAGAATAACACCTTAAGAATTTTCTCAAACTCCAGTATCTCATTTCGTTGATATGCTGCTATCAGATTTGTCATTGCCAAGATCTCAGGATCGTTTTTATACCTGTGGAACCGAAATCATAAGAACAGAAGGAGATGCAAGAACTTGAAAACACAAAAAAAAAAAATATTTTCAAAACTTACGGCTTTGCTTCTTGACCATCAAATGGATTAACCTCCGACTCCATCAGCATATTAGCCAGAACTAGATACCTGTCAAGCAACGCACATTGAACATAGAGAGATTAGTAAAACCTGGGGAACACAAAGACAATCGCCATATATCTATTGTGTATCCCAGTTTAAATCAACTCAAAGACAATCGCCTTATATCAACAAAGGAATTTGTGTCATGTAATTAAGAAACACACAAACACGATGAGTTTAACCAAAGGAATTGCGATCATGTTGTCTAAGTCTTCAAATCATATCACTACAAATTTAAAATTAACAGCCATTCAAAGTTTTTAGTAAAACTTATACTATAAAAATGGTTATTTGTCGACAAATTCTACCATAACCTTGGTAAAATAAAAATTCATCATCTTAAATTCCAATTATAGGTAGTTATTATCCAAATGGTCATGCAATTGTCTCCATTAATTTCATATGTTAGATGGTGCACTTTATATGTAGTATGACTTCAGCCTTCATCCATGGTAGAACTGTGAGGTTGACTCCATCATCATTAGTAAACATTACCATCTAAGTTTCATACCCCTCATAGGTAGGTGATAGCACATAATGATTTGTAGACTGACCTCTACTTTTGAAAACTATCAGCAG